TGTAAAAAAGTTTTTTATAGTTTCAACAATATTCGTTTTGAAAAAGAAAACTGATTCTTTCAAAGGAGTGTTTCACTCCTTAAAAGTGCATATAGGCGCACTTAAAAAAAATATATATTTCTTATATTTAGGTCTAGATTACAACATATTAAAATCAGAGAAGGATCCTTCTCCGTGTTTTCCTTGTAAGTAGCATTCTCAATTATTTAGCATTCGCCATATGTTAGGAATTCGCGAATTCCATTTAATTTGCTCTTAGCGCCTCTTTGAATTCACCTTTCGAATTTTATTTGTGATCTCACGATAGAGTTTCCATCTTATACAGCAAATGATTAATTTACTCTCATATTTCTCTTTTTCACGGTGGCGTTCAGATGGTAAGCTTTTTGACATGTAAGATTTTTCTCAATGAGAAGCTGTATATCACCTGTATTCGTTATTTCTCACAAGCTTATTTTCACTCGTAATCGTTCCGTTAATTAAGGAAGTAAATCGTAGTTAATGAAGTTATAAATAATGCGAGATCCACGATTTACAGAACCTAATGAATTGATTGATTGATTGATTTAGCATCCCATATACATGATGGGTTCAATAGTATACTTGGTGTTCGGTCTGGCGCTCACATCCATGTGCATCAATGTCGTGCAGGTAAACAATTCTTTTTTTTTTTAAATGATAAATTCAATCAAGACCAACCGCAGATGTTGATATATTATATACATATATTATATACATATTTTACTTGTTTTTTATATATTTTTTAAAATGTTTTTTTCATTTAGGACATATTTTTGATTATATATTTACAGAAAGCATTGGATATGAAGTGCACTATAATCTTTCTTAATGTTACAGATTTTGTAATTATCATTGTAATCGTGTAAAACAATAATTGTATCTTTCATATAATATCATAATCGTTTCAATTATCATATTGTTATATAATAAATCATTCATTTACTATTTAATAATTTCATCAACATTTTAATACTTTTTTTTATCATAGCATTTAATGATATATCAAGACACGGAGGTAATCACATAGCTTCGTTGAATAATCTCAAACTAGTATAATATTTTTTAGTGTATTTATGTATATTTAGTACAATCGCATTTAGCACAATATTTTTTTGGTATATTTATATATTCATCAACTTACAAAAAAATTATTATATCGATATTTAATAGCCAAGGAGCCATTAAAAATTAAAACAGTTGGTGGGAAAAAATGCGGTAGAATAATACTCATTAAATTTAATCGAATAAATAATTAAATCTGTTTAATCGCATGTTGACAGGTGATGCTATCGGATTCATTTAAGCAGGCGAGCCAAAAGATCGGAGCCACAATCGGTTTTGAGGTCGCCGAGGATGATAACTCAGTGAAACCGGCACCGCCACCGCCAGTCGAAGTCGCAGACGTCCACATAAACGTGAAAGAGTCTGGGAGCGATGAAAAGATCGCGCCCAAAGCAAAGCAGGAGGACGTTGACCTATAGATTGCATTTCTTTCAGGAGGAATTTTTATGCGTCTCGATCGAGCTCGTTTCACGAAATGTTTCTTTCTCTCTCTTTCTATTTCTCTCTTTATTCGACCTTAAGAGAATAATCGTTCGCTGGCTTATGCAATGCAATGATGGCATGGTAATTATCGCGATACGCACGCAATCAAACTTCGAAGGACACTCAGGACCGTCTTTACACTTGAAATGTGCAGAGAAATTTGGCGAAGATAATCGATTTTAGAATTTTTGATATTTGTTAAAATTGTACGTTGGAAATTTTAATTAGATCTAATTAATTATCTTACAGATACTTTTAAGTTAAACTCTTTACTCTAATACTTTTAAGTTAAATTCTGGATATCCAAATTTCTCTCAAAAACGGTCCCGATCGTCTTTGCGTCTCGGCAGCGCCGCACTAAGAAAAAAATATAGTTAATTTTAATAAATATTTAGTTCAACAATTTTACTTACAGTAAGTAAATATTTATTCAATAAAAAAATGATTGTTAAATCAAATTAACATTTTTCTTGTATGAAATAAATATATCTTTATATTTAATAAATATTTAATTGGCAGTAAACAATATTGCAACTAAATATTAGGTTTGGGAAAAAGTTTTTCCCGTTGGTATTAAAAAAACGCCACGAACTTTTTCCCACCTAATATTTATTAAAATTGACTATATTTTTTTTCAGTGCGGCAATGAAATCTTTGAAACACTACACGTCCGTCTATAATATCTATATATTGTGGAAATCAATTCGAATACTTTGACAGAAATATAATATTGGCTATTTAATATTGAAAGATGTTAGTAATTATTATTTATCTCGAATTTATTATTTATTATTTATTTATTACAACTAAACAATAGTATTTTTAATACTCAAAATAAGTAATTAATCACTATTTTTCAATATTAAATTGATCAGTATTAGATTTCTATAAGATTTCTACAAGAGAGTAAATTTTTCAAATGTATATGTATTTTCGAGATGCGCAAAAATACAGATTAGTAATTTTATGAAAACTAAAAATCTAATTGTGTCTGTCATCGTGATTAATGAATGACCGAAAAAATGGAGCTCGAAAAGATAAACAATTAAATTTGTATGTAAAACAATTATGTATAATTCAATGAAAATGTCAAAATTAATTGAAATACGCACAATTATAATTTAATTGTATTTTGTTCGACGAGAGTTTCCGAAACTGGGTTTATAACAATTTTGACAGGAAGGTTTTGATGAAAAGTTATATGTGTTACCAATAGTGAAATGGAATAACAATTGTTCCTTACAGTTTTATTTTGTAATTTTGGACGTGAATTTAAAAATAATTTTAGAATTTCGTGTATCGTATATTTACAGAATTTGTAGATAATATAAATATGAAATTTTATGATTATGACATCGTAAATATAAATGTTAAATATGTCATATTTTTTCTATTTTTAATGACATTTACATTCTATTTTATATTTATGTTGTGTATTATTTCCAACTTTATATTCCATAAAGCTATTGGCGAATTAGTGCAATTTCCCAATCTACGATCAATATGCCTGTTACAGCGATGTCTCCAGATAATGTGTAATTATGAATATGACGAATTAAGAGGATCTATTTTTGTCAAAGTAATACATCGAAAACAAAGAAACTGTCGCTATTCTGCAGCCGTTTTTGCCAAATGTTCGCGGGTAACAATGCAACTCGCGATTTATTTTTCGTAGTCTAGTGTCTATTGACAATAAATATAAGAAAAAATTGGTATTTTGTATATTCTATAGAATTTATATTCTATAGAATTTATCGCGTGATTTTGCGACTTCTCTTTCCGAGTCTTTTTCCGTGCGGAATTTGTAAGACGATTTACTTTATTGACCTATCCTAAGTTTTAATCATTTATTTACGATAAACTATTTTGCGATAAATTACAATTTTGACAATCCTCTCGTAGGACTGGGAGAGGATGTGACAGAAAGTTATAATCCTTCTCGTATAAAAAATTTTTTTTGTTTAATTTACACATTTTACGTCTCACCTTCTTTTAGAAAAATAAGTAAGAAATAAATAAATTAAAAAACTTATTTTAAAAAATAACGGAAACTTACTGCATATGCATTATTATATACAATTGTAATAACTGATTTTCAAATTAATATCTGCAAAAAATTTAAAGCTCTCTTTTTGAATCTAAAATTTCAAGATTGAAGATTCAAAAAATTTTTTTAATTGTTTATTAAATCTCTTTTTTTCGCAATTTGCGAGTGTATCGTTGCATGTAATTGTATTTATAAAGAACTCAAAGTTGGTCGAGAAAATTTTGATTTTCGCTGATGAAGACAAAAAAACACTCGTGCCTTTTCGAAGTTGAGATCATTTGTTAAACTTTTAGGCCCAGTTTCACAACTCAGTTAATTCTTAACCCAGATTCAATTTGTTTCTCATCTTTTTTTAATTCTAAAATTGAAAAGAGATAATGAATAAATTGAATTTCGGTTAAGAGTTAACCGTGAATTGTGAAACTGGACCTTATAGTAATTATATGCCAAAGATTCTTGTGTGTGATACAGTTCAATTTACAATTAAAATATACATAATAATGCCTACTCGGTAGAAATATTATTTTTCTTGAAAATAAGTGAAAAAGTGATGTGATGAATATATAACGTTTTTGTCATTTTACAACTCGTTGAAAATTAAATCCATGTAATGAGCTAAATGTATAAATCGCTGTAATAAGATATTAATACTATTGTATTATTTATTGAATTTATCTACAAATAAATGTTTCCTTCTCAAGTCCATTGTCTCTTGTCAGAGACGTGGTGATCTCTTCTGCATATATCTACTTATATATGGAAAATCAAGTTTTTAGTATCAGTTTCAAACGATTCAATTGAAAGGGCCTTTTATGACAAAGATATTCTCAGAAATTTTCTGATTTGCGATTGTAATTGTCTTTCAAGAGATAACAATCATCAAATATAATCTAATACATATATATGTATTCCGATTCGAATTCGGATCCTTGCTGCAAAGAGCAACTACGTAATTATTGCGGACGAACAAGATTAAACAAAATAAACATTTAAAACAAATAGACTAATTCGCATTTATTTCCTATTATATAAAAATCCATAATTTGGCGTTTGTTATTTTCATTATATTTCTTATTTTTAATCAAACTTTTTCTATAATAATATAATATCATGCTTTCTTAAATAATTCATTTCTCTTTAAATATAATTCATCTTTATTTTGTATATCTTGACACGGACTTGTCTAATGACTGTCTATTAGAATTTGGATTATTTCTCTTATATTGATATTGAATGTTAACACACTCTTGGCTGAATTGATCTTAACAGTCACATAACTATCGAGATAAGACATTCACAACGTTGTAGTGCATAATCATTTAAGTTTATCAAGAGTGCTCTGGTAAGTTTATCTAATTAATTTGTTGAAAATAGCCGAAAGCTAAAATGTTAAAATCAAGAATATTGAGAATAAAAAGTATTATAATACAGTTTCAGACGAAATATACTAAAAAATATTATTAAACTTGTTTAAGTTATTAACAACTGCAGCTCTTAGTTGCCTTTCCTTATTATTAAAAATTTTTTTTATTGTTTATTAATTCATTATCTTTATAAATTTCTCTATTTTGTTTGTATTTAGTCAAGCTTCTTTTTCTAAAGATAATATTTTTTTAAATTAATTAATTTCTCAAATATATATAATTTTTATCACATTTCTATTTTTTGTTTCTAATTAAATGTTTCTAATAAGCAATTGTTCTTTTCAGAACAAATGCTGTATATTTTTAAATTAAAATAAGTAATGTTATCTTAAATATAATAATTTTATATAATTTTTATGAGTATTAGTTTAATTCTTTCTTTTCGTTTTTAGCAAAGCTTTCTTTTTCAATAAGAAATATAAAAAAGCTCATCAGAGCCTACATCAGCTATTCGGAAATGCACAGAAAACTCTTTATTTTTATTAAATGTAACAAAACGAATAAAAGTTAAAAATAAGTTAATAAAATTAAAATTCAGACAAATGATTTTAATAATTCTCTAATTTTTTGTTTCTCGTGTTTCTTTTGAATGGCTGCATAGCAAATCTGACAATCTGATGAGCAATGTGATTCTACTTATTAATGCAATATATATGATTTCGGTTTTACTTTATGTAAGTTTTTATATTATTATTATGTAAGTTAATATTTTTGATAATCATTTGGCTATTCATTACATAGCTAATTTGGCATTTGGATAAAGAAGAACGAACTAAATTGTCGGGAATCATCAATTTGGAATTTGCGTTACTTATATAATTTTAATTTATATTTTATATTGATAAGGACCCGAATTGAAAGATTGAAACGTTTATTTTATTTGTTTTGTTATATTCACGAAAATAAAGAATTTTCTGTGCATCCGAATGCAGCTGATGTAGGCTCTGACGGCCTTTTTTATATTTTTCACTGACAGATTTTTTTCGAACCATTTTATATTTGTTTTTCTTTTTCAAATAATATCATACTTTATATTTTCATAAAATAATTCATTTTTCTCCAAATGCATCTTATAATTTTATGACATTTCATTCTTGTTTTTTAATCAAACTTCTTTTTTTATCGATAAAGTACTTCATGTATCTTAAAAATAATTAATTTCTTTCCTTCCTGGTTTTAATTAAAATGTTTTAATTTTTAATATGAAATAATATTAAAATGTTTTTATTTAATAATGTTAAAATGTATTTTTTTTTATAATAATTTTTCTATAAACATAATTTCTTTTTAGATTCTTTCGATTGTTCGATGGCTCGAGAAATTGGTCGATATAAACTCTCACATACCTTTTTATTGTAAAACTTTCTGTTGGCAATCCTACATCCAAGCGAAGTGTTTCATGTTTATTGTCCGTTCAGTTCAGTGTAGTACGGTGTAGTAGTTCAGTGTGTGGAGAACCAAGATGGCTGAAGGATGACAGTATACAGCTGTCAAGCTGTATTGAACAAATAACATTTCAAAGAAATTGGAGGGAAAATGTCTCACGTGCAATATGTGGATGAATTGGTAAAGGAGTACTTGCTCTTCAGGGGTTTTAGTCAGACTTTAAAGGCCTTTGATAATGATCTGAAAGCAGAAAAGGAAAAGGGATTTAGGGTGAGAATGATTACAGCAAAATAACAAAGCATCCAACCAAATAAGAATATGCCTTATAATAAGAACAAGATAAATGCGTTTGAAATAATTGTGCGACTTTATTTTTATCTATTTGCTTTATTTTTCTTTTATGTATATATATATATATATATA